CCCCAAAACCCCAAAACCCCAAAACCCCAAAACCCCAAGAAAATCAAAATTCTTGAGAAAATATTATTATAAAAATAATGTCTGATCCAAGTAAGTTAACGAAATTTAAACTATAGGTGTGCTTGCAAATGTATCTTCAGTGTAGGTATTCTCTGACCTATATATCTCTCCATGCCTCTATTTCAAATAAATATAGAATCGAGAAGACTATAAATCGAGTCTGTTGTAGATCAGAGCTTGACCGAATATTCGAACAGGCTAGCCCATTCGCTATTGAAGAGCAAATATGTCACTTTAAAAATATTCACGACATACTTTACATCAACTATGATCATGGAGAGCTGAAAAGAAACGATCTCCATTGTTGGGAAGCTGAGGAAGCTGAAGTATGCACCTATGTTAACCTCTAGCCTCCTTCAATTTTTGATAGATTTGCCACAAATAATATTCCAGTAAAATAAAACTATCAGATTTGGAAGTTATGGTACTCCCAATTATTGATTTCATAGCTGGAGACGAAGATGATGGTGATCACGAATCTCCAAAAAGAGGGCCATTATCTGTGTACTCAAAATCATCTGTCTTCAGAAGAGATTTAAGAAAGAAAGGAAAGTATCATCTCACTCATAAATTTGGTATTTATTTTTAAATTATCCCTAGTTCCAACACAGAAGCCAATCCCAATGGATCCAGAGGATCCCGAAGATTTATTCACTAGGCAAATGAGAGCTATTAAAATCAAGGAGTTTGAAAGGTATTGTCAAATATTTATCAACTAGAGATCAAGAAGAAATCAAGAAGGCTAAAGATCTAAGAAGAAGACTCTTAGCAAAAAGCAAAGCAGCTGCTATTAAAAATGAAGAAAAACTTCTATCCAAAAAGGCATATACATATAATTATAACGGTGAAATTATTTTTGTTAAAATGAATAATAACGAAAAATTTCCAACAACACTCTCTCAGGTATTCATTGTAAACTATTTTTAGCCTCGAATTGGGACTAAGCTCAAGCCAGTAGCTCAAATGCCAGAAAATACCATTCATGCGATCAGAAATATCAATATGTCTCAGGATGAGATTGTGCAGAAGCATTTCAAACCTACATCAACTCAGAAAGAGCCTGAAAAAGTCAACAAAAGAGTACAACTAAGTCTAAACTTATAGAGGAAATAAAATTAAGCATCTTGGAAAATACTTCAACAATATGGTTGAGCCAGCAGGGTCCAACTTCGATGTCATGAGTGCATCTCAAGGTGTATGAATCTTAGAAAATGGCAAAATAAAATAAGGTATTCGCATGATTTTACATAAAGGGACCACTAATGAAAAGAAATTCCTCCCAAGAGACATTCCAATTTGGCAGAAGAACATCAGCTTTCAGCTCAACTATCAACTCTCAAAAATAGTGTGGGCAAATTCGATCCTAACTCACCATCAAGTACTCAGCAATTGAACCCAATACTTCCTAATGATCAGCACATACTGATGGTTACTGGAGATTATGACACCTTAATGAGTGGTCCTGAACTTATGACCACAAGGAAATTAAACAGAGTAGCTAGTCAGGGAATGATCAGTACAGATAAAGACTTTGATGTCACAACCCTCTTTCTCCCTGATATTGGTGGGGATCCAATGACAAGAATTGAGAAATCAAAGATTTCCCAACAAATATTTAACAAGCCATCTCTTTTAAAGTAAGTTCCTTTTGACATACCTTCAGCATCACCTCAATGAAGAAAGAATTCAAAGACTCTTCAAAGGTTGACGATCTTAATCAGAACATCATGATGAATCCAACTTGGGGACAGCACACCAAAGCAGAAGGACTTGAACACCAAAATGCTGCTAGAAAGCCACAGATCCATAATTTGATCAAGAGCAACAAAATTGAAAAACTTGGCACTAACAAGAAGAAAGGGTCCTTCTTAGCAAGAATGAGGATGAAAAACTTGACACCTCATAGCCACCTCCCTCAACCTCCTCTGGGAGAATCAATCGGGCATGGAATCCTTAAGAATGAGTTGTAATAGCCATAATTCAGCCTTAAGGAAATAAAATGGGGTTTTGGGGTTTTGGGGTTTTGGGGTTTTGGGGTTTTGGGG